GGTATGTATGGATTAGTACACGAGGCATTTGGAATCTCAAATGACGATGACCGAGTCGATGGAGACAACCTTGAAGATCTGGGAGATATACCAAATCCACAAGCAGAGAAGTTCTATAACTTGATACATGATGGACAAAAGGAGCTTTATCCACAATGTAGAAATTTTACGAAGCTCTCATTCATCATTCAGTTATTTCATATAAAGAATTTAGGCGGATGGAGTAATAATTCGTTCACTATGTTATTAGAGTTATTGAATGAGGCATTCCTAGAGGATGTAACACTGCCTAAATGTTGTTTATGAAGTTAAGCAAATAGTTATGGAGTTAGGACTTAGTTATGAGAAGATTCATGCATGTCCCAATGATTGCATGTTGTATAGGAATGAGCAGATTCCAATATTTGGTTTAACTATTGCCTACAAAGCCCCAAGTAAATTCTTAAGATTTGTTTGGATTTCAAGTCAGCACATAGAGTGGTGACAAGGAAGATTATTAAGCATACCACCAAGAACTATGTCCGTTTATCTCAAAAGGCTTCCCAGCAAAATGGTTAACGATTATTATTTCTCTATAGATATTTGATTTCAAAGCAAGTCTAACTGCTTACTGCTTGAAGCAACTTCGCTAAAACTAATCTTGACAATTTTTCCATATTAAACAAAAAATATTTATAATGCGCACTAATCTTGACAACAACAAAAAAAAACTAGAGGTCCCACGCAAATGCGTAATATTTGGGGTACTCATGATGATGAGCGCCTAACAGTCAATTGGAACAAACTTGGCCAACCTGATGACAAATTGGCAACAAAGTTATCATCGTTCATTGGAACTATTGTGCGTGATGGGAAAAATGCACCACCCACTTACAAGAATTGGCATAAAGTCCCAGACCATTACAAAGATCACATATGGGCACTTGTACAGGTAAATGACACTATTGTGAGAAGATCACATGTGAAAAATAGTAAACATGAGTAATATGATTAAAACAACACTCTTTATAATTTTTTTTATTTTTAATTTTTTAAATTTTGTTTATTTTTAATTTTTTATGTGGGAAGATTAATTTTTTATTATTGTATTCTTCTCTCTCTCTCTCTCTCTCTCTCTCTCTCTTTTTCTCTCTCTTTTCAGTCAAAGTTTGATCTTCCAAGTCATGGTAGGAAGTGGGTTATGAAGTGCTCTGGTAAGAAGTTAAAAGACTGGAAGGCAAACATATAGAAAAATTATTATAAGAACCACTTGAGTTTTGACGAACAAAAGCATTATAAAGATAGTAGAATATATGCTAATCAGTGGGAACACCTTATTAAGTATTGGGCCATCAAAGAAGTAAAGGTAAACTCGATCTGATCATTATATGTTATTTTACTTGCTGTAGTTTGGACACCATTAATTTATGCATTTGTAATTTTAGGCACAAAGTGATAAAAACAAAGCAAGTCGTGCAGAGCGAAAGTATAATCATACTACTGGAACAAAAATTTTTCCACGTGTTCGAAAGGAGCAGGTTAATTCCTCTTTTCATGTTGTATATTTAATATGATAAGGTATACATAATGTGACATAATGATATAATTTATATTTTGGAAAATATTATTTTGTAGAAAAATAAGTTGGGACACTCTCCAACTCGTGCTCACATGTTTAAAGTATGTTATACAAAGGAGACAGGAACTCCTGAGGCAACGAAAGCAATGATAGTATGTACCAAGCAATTATGTCCATTTGAACTTGTAGATTAGTTAAAATTTCCACATTATAGTGTTGAGTTATTGAAATGTATATATTAAGTTATGTTTTTTGCAACCTTATAGGATGAAATGAATGAGAGGACAACCTTAAATGCAAATTTATCAAATAAGGGCCCAAATGATGCATTTGGACAAGTGATGGGTAAAGAAAAACATGGACGAGTTCGCATGTATGGATTAGGTGTCTCCCCGTCTAATTTATGGAGAGATACATCTGGTCATAAAGCAAACCATGACACAACAATGGATGTTATGGAAGCTGAAAATTCGGAGCTAAGGCCCAAAGTTTCCCATGTTCAACATGCTTCGAATAACTTGACAAACACATCTAATCAGGTAATTTTTTTAATAGAATTTATAAGTTATTAATGTTTTCCTACACTAATATATGCATACATATATCTATGTGTGTGTGTTTGTAAAATTAAAAAGTTCAAATTTGGTTAGGCCACAACAACTTCTACTCCTCTCGACAAGGCAGCTCAACATCAAGCATGGTCTTTGTCATCGATACAAGATACTTCTCTTACTCAGGTACCTACTAAGAGCTAATCATATAGATCACATTACTTTCAACTTTATTTTAGAATAGCATGCAACATTTATTTTATAATTAACCAATGAATGAATATTGCGGACATAAATTTCATTATTTAAATCTAGACAAAATGTGCTACATAGTCTAAATCATGACATGATGAAGTTTGTGCTATTTTTTTTAAAACAATTAATTTAATTTTCTTCTAAAGCTTTAACAAGACATCTTTCCATCATTTATTACCGCATGGGCTCTTTCTGATTCTCTCAAAATATTGCTTGAAAGTAATTAGTTGATTGTCATTTTTCACAATTACATTTGATTTACATCGTTGAGGTTAGGTGATCCTGATATTGATAATGGACATGGTCTTCATTGTCATTGATTGGTGCTTTTGGTTGTTATTGATTTTTTAAGCTATTGTTTGATATGGTCTAAAGCTTTACGGTTGTTACTTTTATATAATTTGTTGTAGTGTAGTGAACCAATTAAGTGATTAAAGCATTTGGCTTGCTTATCTACTAGAGAAATCCATATCACTTTCAGTTGTGATCATCTTCACTCTAGCACTTTGTACTAGTTTTTTTTTTTAATATTAGCAATTTAATTTTAAATATACAATTACTTAAGTAGTTAAATCTTGATTTACAGGTTAGAGATATAATTGTTCTAAAAACTATCATTAGGCCAATAGAAACAGTTGCAATCGGAGTACTTAAAAGCACAAATGCATCTAAAGAAGTAGAAGGGGAAGAACTGGGACCTGACTATTGGGAGTGTAACGCCCCCAAAATAGACTCATTATATATTTGTCACTGACATGCAATATTTAAAGTAAACAATTCATTATCTCATTCATCAGAGTATTTCTAATGCATTGAATAACAAAGACGTTAGCACATTAATAAATGTGCCGAAGCTAAACACTTGCATCCTAATGCATTGAATAACAATAATTCATTCCACATAAGCACATAATCACATAAGCACCTACGAATTTCATTCCTGGATGATACTAGTCCCGAAGCGTCACTATAGTTCCGGTTGGAAGTAGCATTGATCAAGTGCCTTTCCAACAAGACTACTAGAAACTCAAGGGTCCAATTAACATCCTAGAAACTACGTTCCATACCCACATAATCACATAAACATGTTATCATATAAGCATATAACATTTCACTAAGTCTCTATCAAACAGGACGAACCCATTGTGATACTAATCACTTCCCACGTACCCAAAGTATTCAACCCCGGTATGCTCTGATACCAAGTTGTAACGCCCCCAAAATAGACTCATTATATATTTTTCACTGGCATGCAATATTTAAAGTAAACAATTCATTATCTCACTCATCAGAGTATTTCTAAATAAAAGCAATACATGTAACGGCAATTTAAATGCCCTATGGGCTTACATCTTTCCAAGCCAACACTTGGACACAAAAATATGAGTTCTAACTCATATACAAGTAAAGCCCTAGGCTTGAATGCTTACATGTACTATCAAATCAAAACAACTAACTGAAGATAGTCTTCAAAATCCAAAAGTCAAATCCTTCCAAGCTAAGTCCTTGGAGGTAGCTTATCACCTGAACCTGAAAATGATGTTCCCATAAAGGGTGAGCCACAGCCCAGTAGAAAAATACTAAACCAAATATAAGCATTGAAGCACCCGTATCAATCAAAACAATGGCTAACTAAGATAATCAATTTTATCATTAAACAAAATATTGCCATGTCAGTGAAAACATTTAATGAGTCTATTTTGTGGGGCTTTACAAACTTGTATCAGAGCGTACCGAGTTGAAATACTTTGGGGTACGTGCGGAAGTGATAGTATCACAATGGTGTTCCGTCTTGTTGATAGAGACTTTAGCTGAAATGTTATATGCTTATATTGATAACATGTTTATGTGATTATGTGGGTATGGAACGTAGTTTTCTAGGATGTTAATTGGACCCTTGAGTTTCTAGGTAGTCTTGTTTGGAAAGCACTGATCAATGCTTGCTCCAACGTCGGAACTTATAGTGACGCTTCGGACTAGTAGCATCAGGAATGAAATTCGTAGCTGCTTATGTGAGCTTATGTGCTTATGTGAATGAATTATTGTTATTCAATGCATTAGGACGCAAGTGGTTAGCTTCGGCACAATTTATTAATGCTACTAACGTTCTTTTGTTTTCTTTATCTAGATGTTCAGCGACGAGGTACGAGGGCGCAGTAGGCGTGGTAGGCCAGGTAGGCAGGGGTGCCTGTGTCAGAGAGGTTCCGGCAGTACTATGCAGGAGCTTGGCCAGGCAATGTGGCCAGCCAGTAGGCCAGCAGGCTCATGCGGCGCTCAGCCCGGAGATAGCAGGGGGCATTCAGGGAGTCAGTAGCATTCTCAGAGCTGATAACAGCGCAGGTTGGTTGTTGCGAGCAGGACCTTCCTTTCTGAAGACGAGAGTTCCTTCCGGTCTAACCGGATGAATTTGTGGGGAATCCTAAAGAAGCCACTTAAGGCAGATGAATGCTCGAACAGACAACGAAGACGTTTGAGATGCTGGCACTCGAAGAGAGGGGTTGAAAGTGACCTTGCATCTTCCAGGCTGAAGGGGAAAATGCCGGGTCAGGGTGTGGAAAGTTCACTAAAGGTCGTATAGGACAGGTACATGGATGCTTTTTGCTGAATTGCTTTCCATGAGAGGTTCTTATCTTCCAGCAGTTAGGGGAGAGCGAGTGACCAGTTCTGCAACTTAAGCAGTGAGTTCTTCAGTGGCCGAGTTTGCAGGCTGCAGATTTACTAGCTTGTCCAGGTTTTCTTTAGCACCTGAGTTGTGGCGTCTGAAGAACGCCGTTGGTATCGAGTTTATGAAGAAGAAGTTGAGGCGTGGCTTTCAAACTGCGAGTTGGGGAACTATGATCTCGGGATTTGGCGTATGGTCGAGCTGCAGTCCCACATAGGAAATCATGATGCAGGGAGGAGGAGGTAAGGACAGAAGGGCTCCAGAGGAGTCAGATGGTAGAGTGATGGTAGGAGACAGGAAGGTTTTAACATTCCTCAGCAGTCTTCAGGTAGCTTTTCAGATCGATTTTCCTAACGAAGCGCCTAAGTTCGGGGGAAGGCAGTCAGGGAGACATTACCTGTTTCCAAGTGTGGCCAGCTGGGCCACAAATCTCCAGTTTGTCCTCAGAGGGAGGAGTGCAGAAGAGCAGCATCATTCTTCGCTCGGATCTCGGAGCCAAGCAGTCAGGTAGAGGCCAGCCACTCTCGTGTTCAGTGTGGTCAGCCAGGGCTATGAAGAGGTATTGCTCAACAGTTGGGTGCGCAACACCTGTGCATCTGTTTGCAGGCAGATTCAGGGTCACCAGCCAGGCTTCAGTCGGGTCAGCTTAGAGGGCCAATCAGGGGCTTCATCGGTTTCCCAGTCGATTAGGCAATCTTTATGCTAGCCTAGGAGGTGAGCAGGTTGATCAAAGGTCTTTGGGCCGTGTACGCTTGTTACCACGCAGGATTCTGTGTGCCAGCAACCATCAGTTGTGAGAGGTAACCTTCTTGTTTGTAACTCGGTTGCTAGGTTTGATTGCATACGGGTTGCATCTTCCAATTCCTTTGTGTTGCTTGCATTTGCATCTGCTTTTGGAGTTGGAGTTAGGCGCAGTTAGCGATCCCCTATTGTTGTTAGTGTCACCTCTTGGGGTGATTAATCTTCGAAACAAGGTGTCAGGGTTGTGATATAGAAGGTTCGCGGATCATAGACTTCCGTTTCCTTTGTAGTTATGCCCATGAAGGCTTTTGATTTATTTTGCGGTATGGACTTGCGTTATCGTCATACGGGCAGTTAATTGATTCTTACCGCCAGTAGGTCACTTCTGTGTACCGTGAGCGGGAAGTTTTTTCATTTCTGGGGACCGGGTGTTGGTAGTGTCTTTGCCACGCGGATGATTCGAGAGGGCGAATAGCTTAGTGGTCTACTTCTAGCTTTGAAAGTGTGAGTGTAGAGACCCCAGGACTGTGTTGCCAAGATGCGTTTGTGCAGTTATTAGACGTCTTTCCCGAGGCCTTCGTTAGTTTTGCCACCTCACGAGAGATTGAGTTCTACTATTGACTTAGTGCCGCACCGGCGCCGATTTCTATGGCACCTTATCAGTTTTGCCCCAGCTGAGTTTAGTGAGTGAAGATCCAACTCAGGAGTTGCTAGATAAGGCTTATACGTCCCTAGTGTTTCGCCATGGGGGAGCACCGGCCCTCTTGTTAAAAAAGAAAGGTTGGTGCTTGAAGGACTTTGTATAGATTTACCGGAAACTTGAATGCGCTTACGGTTAGAATAAGATAGCCTATGCCTCGTATGTAATGATCTGTTTCGATCAGTTTGAAGGCGTTCCCGTTTGTTTCTCAGAAATTAGACTGAGATCGGTTATCATCATTGAGAGTCAGGAGGAGGATATTCCCAAGCACGGCATTCCGACGCGGTATGGCCAGTATGAGTTTTTGTGAATGCCATTTGGGCTTCACAATGCCACGGCAGTATTTATGGATTTGATGGAACCGGAGCATCCCGGAAATTTGTGGATCGTTTTGTTATTGTCTTCTGTGGCGACATCCTATCTATTCACCATTTCTTGCAGGAGAAGCACACAGAACACTTGGCAATGGTGCTTGACGTTACTTTAGAGCCCATAGCTTTATGCTAAGTTTGGCAAGTGTGAGTTCTGGCTAGAAGAGGCGTCAAG